ATAACATGTTCCATGTTGTATTTAAGCACTTATTTAAGTCCACGGCACGTATTGATATAATGAATATGAAAATGCATGAACTGATAAAACGTATAGTCTTAATGCACTGGACTTTGGATAAAAGCAGCTGGCAAATGCATAAATGAAATGTCCAGCGGTCAGGGGAAAGTGACACACACAGTCTGACTTTAACAAACTCAGATGCTTTTATCCGAAGTGACTTACATTTCATTCAAGATACACATTTGATCATTTGAAGAGTTCCCTGCATGACCTTGGCATTGCTGGCGCCGGACGCTCTACTGTTTCACATAATATTGCTATATTTGAAGTGTCCCATTTACATATTCTTATACCTCTATATTGACTTTCTGGGTTTATTTAAGTTCATTTGAGTCACAGAGATGTCCGACTGTCTCATGACTAATGAGTTTCACATTCTCCATGTGAACTTTATCAAGAGGAGAATCCAGATCTACACTGACCTCTGCTGACAGCCATGCACAACATGCATTACATGGAACTCAATAGAATTGGATCTGAATCACATGAATTAAAAAAAATAATATTAAATATAACAATAATAGTGTAATAAATTCATTAATAATTTATTATTACTATAACATATATTTGTATATTAAATTATGATTTCATAATGATCATTATTATTATTATTATTGTTTATATTTAATTCATTAATTCATTCATTATGTTTATATTTATAGCTATATAGAGTATTAATGGATTAAACAACAACATTAAATGTTGTTAAAATTAAATTATATTATAATTTAATTTATTAATAATATTTGTTTAGCATTATTTAATTCATTAATTAATACAGTGTATATATATATATATACATACTGTATTCATATATATATATATATATATATATTTTAATACAGTGTATATATATATATATATATATATATATATATATATATTTATATATATATATATATTATTATATATATATATATATATATATATATATTAATACAGTATACGTATATATATATATATATATATATATATGAAGAGTTCAGATGCAAAAGCCTCTAAATGCCATTTGAAATTTTCTTCTTTAATGATAATTTTTTATCAAACTTGTATATTTAAGTTCAGTAATTTCACTTAAATAATAATTAATAGGTAATTCTCATTGTCATTTAAGTGAAATCACTGAACTTAAATATACAAGCTTGATAAAAATGATCATTCTAGAAGAAAATTTCAAATGGCACTTTGAGGCTTTTGCATCTGAACTCTTCATATATATATATATATATATATATATACATATATATATATATTTAAATTAATGGATGAATTCAACAACAATATTAATTATATAAATTATTATTATTATTTAATTTATTAATTAATTTTGTGTCCTGGCAGGAGTGTTGGGATGAGAATGTAAAATGTTCCAAAACTACATAAAAGCCATTCTTGCAGTCCAGTGATGGTTGATTTGTTACAAGTGGCAAGGGGCTCGTGGCAGGCGTCACACGTCACCGTGTTACAATGGAGCTGAAGTGTTGTGTCTCCACATCAAGCGTGAGCTCTTGGCGGTTCAGAGACAGCTCATTGATTACATCTGCTGCTCTTATTGTCCCAAACCATCTCCATCTCAGCAGGGCGCCCTGAAATTAAAATCAGTGGCCTCTGACAGGCTGAGAGACATCGATGGGATGCCGTCACACGTCCCGCATTCAGAGGCATCACGAGGGAGCGTAACCATGGTTTCCGTGGGCCGTTACGGGCCGATAGCTGGCGATCACGTTTAATAATCATGCTAATCTCCCACCTACAGCGCACACACAACACATCACAATCAGTGCCAAACGACATCTAAAGCCATTACTGCCCAACACCAATGAGGGCTTTGACATCTGGCACTGTATTTTCTGGGTGTGCCATATTTCGTCTTTGTGATTTTTGTAACGATGTGGAAGCTGACATTGTCACTCAGTGTCCGCTGTCCAAAACAAAAACTGGCCTTCAAAGTGCATGCTTTCACTAAATGATGCAGATGAGATCGGTACAATGAGGTTAAAATGACCACTATTCAATTTATGGGTCAAAAATGCCCCTGTATGAGTTTTTGTCTAATATTTTTAGCCTATTTATAAATAGCAATGTCACATAAAACTTTTTGTGTTCAATATCAGCATGATTGCAATTTGAAATAAACAAAGTTACATTTCAGACACAACATTTTCGTCTGTTTTGCACTTTCACCAACAAAAATAGACCCAAACAAAATTAAAAAAAAAAAAAAAAAAAAATCTAAATTCTGTATGTTAATGCCTAAAACAAGAAAAAAATCTGCCAATTATGTCATAAAAATAATCTTACATCAAAGGGAAAATATAATTTTTTGACTCATTTGGCAGGCATTTTCTATTTGTTTTACACACACTTTTTGTTTTGATATTCTTTTCAGAAAATAAGACCTAATATCTTAAGTCATTTTGCTTTTCTTACTCTTTTTTAAGAATGTAAAACAAAATTTCTAAACAAAAATAACGTTTTTTGTTTTTTTTTACTGTATTTTTTTTTTTTTGCTGATTTCCCCAGAGGAAATATAGGAGAAGTTCTCTATCAGAGGTTTAGTATCTTGAGGTTTGCTGGTCTATAATGAGGAGCGGTTAATGTGGCATTTTAACTTAAGACAATGAAAGTAGCGGGCCGTCGTGAGAACGAATGAACCGCTCGGCCTGTTTGCTTTGAAATGAAGCCGGACCGCAGGGATCCCCTTCAAAACCGGCTGACCACAACTTAAAAAACCCATTTACAGAGCGATTTGAAGAAGATTACAGCTGAGCTATTCTCTCATAAGCCTGACGTATCTCTGTGCAGAATACAAATCAGCCCTTACTGCTCCAAAACAGCACTAACGCTAATGTAAGATGACAGCAGAGAGAGAGAGAGAGAGAGAGAGAGTTTGAATATGAATGAAAAGAAGGGATTTAATGTGAAATTTGGATGTTTTTAATCAGATCTTAATATGGAGATCTTCATTAAAACCTGCTTGATGTTTCTCCTGAGAAACGAGTCCAGAAACATTAGGATTTCAGAAGAGAAATGTTTCAAATTGTGCTCAGATAGTCTTCATTCAAGTCTCAAAACTTATAACTGTGTACAGTTAAGCAGAAAACACCTCACTATCTTTTGTTGTTGATGTCAAAGGTAAATTCTATGGTGATTGAACCCATCTATCTATCTATCACTTAACAAAAGCTTGTGGACATGGACCGGTTGTTCCTTCAAAAACATGAACACAAATACATAAGATTTGAGGATATTAACTCCAGTTTTGACTTGCTGTGATGATAAATTATATACAGTATAATAATAATAAACATGGTTTGTGTCGACCGCAGTGTTTCATGTGTAGAATTATTGACACTCAACCAGACACTCAAATTATTACTAATCAGTTCAGCTCATTTACAAATGTCACGTTAATAACTGAAAATAATGTTGGACAAGTACAGGTCACAGTAATATTAATGACTTTCAGCAATTATAAAAATTTGTTTTTTATTTGTTTTTTTATTTTTCAGCCAGTGCCACATGAATAATTAACATATTGTTGGCATATGACAGGTAACAATAATATTAGATAATTTCAGCGAGACATGTTCAATTGAAATAAATGTATAAATAACCCAAATGTATAAATAACCCAAATTTGGGTTAAATATGGACAAACCCAAATGTTGGGTTAAAAATGCAATTATAAAATGTACAGTTGAAAGTGAAAGTTGAAGTTGGGTTAAAATTTGAAATTACATTTTTAACCCAACATTTGGGTTTGTTCATATTTTACCCAAATTTGGGTTCAAACAACCCAGCATTGTTTAAAATACATATATTTTCATAAAAAATGAATTGTATATAGATCTGAAATGGTTTGTTTGTCATGTATTTTAGTAGGCCTACTGCATTATCCTGTCTAAATGTGTAACATCAGTATTATAATGTATTATAACTGTAGTTACATTTATTTCTGAGATCATATAATACATTATAAGATGCATTACAAGGAATAATTAATGCATTAAAAATACTATATATATATATATATATATATATATATATATATATATATATATATAATAAGGCTTTAAGTAAAGTAAATAAACATTAGATTTATTTATGACTGATAAACTGTGTTGCATGTGCAATTTAAAATCTGTGTCCTATAATTATGATTACGGTATAAATGTGATTAAATAATAAGTATATGCAATTTTAATTTAAAAATTAACTGTGCCACATGAATAATTAGATATATTGTTGACCAACTGCAGGTCACAGAAATGATAATTAATTTAAAAAAATAATGTGTTGCATGTGCAATGTAAAATATGTGTCAATTTTTAAAATTATAAGTAATAAGTAAAAGTAAAATGTTCAAGTTTTGAATGTTGTTTACATGACTATGTGTTTTTTTTAAATATGCTTTTAGATAAATCGTGTGTAAATCATGTCACAAACTGCCTTGTAACCAATCAGATCAACGTGTGGATCTCTGAGCTGAGTGACTGAGTGGAGGCGGGGCTCATTTGCATATTCATAGAACCACGTATACTAAAATAAGCAAGGGTGTCGAGTTTAAGCATTTTTTTTTTTTTCAAGGAAAACTTTAAATATGTAATTTTGGTGATCAAAGGCGAGTTTTAATGGATAAAATGATTGACTTTAAATAATTAATCCTCCCACATTAGTAATTTCACATATTGTCAGACAATTGCAGGTCACAGTAAAATTAATTTCAGCAAAAAAATGCATTACGTAAATAAATATTTGGTCTTTTGTCATGCATCATGTCATGTATGATTACTGTTAGGTGTGCAGTGAAGGCTTTCATAGTTGAGGAAGGTCTTGTTTTACATGGTCGCAAAAATGTTTTATTAATACATGAAAATTCGTACATATAGCCCCTTTAATTTTCTTCATGTGTGTGTTGTGTGTGTGTCACTCACGTGGTGAAGGCGGGGTTATATTTGGCCCCCAGGTAATACGAGTACAGGTTGAACATGCCGATCATGAACGCCACGAAGACCATGATGAAGATGACCATGAACTTGAAGATGTCCTTGACGGTCCGGCCCAGGGAGATCTGGAGCGGCCCGAAGCTCTCGTTGGCCGGGAGGATGTAAGCGATCCGTGAGAAGCTCAGGACCACAGCGATGGCGTACAGGCCCTCGGAGATGATCTGAGGATCCGACGGCTTCCACCTGTTCCTCGCTGCAACACACACACACACACAGAGACCTTAAGTGAAAACACTGGCACTTCATTCAGATTTAACAGTAAAGTAACGTCAAGACTTTGTTCAGGGATTCTCAAAGAACACAATGAAGATCAAACACACACACACACACACACACACTCACTCACTCATGTGTATATGTGTATATATGAAGAGTTCAGATGCAAAAGCCTCTAAATGCCATTTGAAATTTTCTTCTTTAATGATGATTTTTATCAAACTTGTATATTTAAGTTCAGTAATTTCACTTAAATAACAATTAATAGGTAATTATCATTGCCATTTAAGTAAAATTACTGAACTTAAATATACAAGTTTGATAAAAATCATCATTAAAGAAGAAAATTTCAAATGGCATTTAGAGGCTTTTGCATCTGAACTCTTCATATATATATATATATATATATATATACTGTATATATATATATATATATATATGTTGTGTGACTTCAGAGGCTGCGATGTCACATCCACACCAGCAGATGGCAGCATTGATAACAGATATCAGCTCTGACATCACATTACGTATGTTCATAACTGTCATATTACTGTTTTAGCAGAATGTATTCATGTATGCAGAGAATATTTTTTAAAACACACTTTTTCCAAAACTATAAAGCACAAGCTTATTTTTAGGATTGTTTATATATACTATTATAGTATTTATTCATATTTTGAATTAGCTTTTGTTTTATATTTTCTCTTTTAATTTTAGCTTTAATATATATTTTTTTATTTTATTAGTTATTTATTTTTAAAATTTTTTTTAAATTCGTATGCATTTTTGTCATGTTTTACTTATATTCTAAAATTTTCTATTTAGCTTAAATTTGCATTTATTTTTGTAGTCATTTTAGTCATTTTACTAACTTAAACCTGTCTTATTGCAGTTAGTTGAACAATGCAACATTTCATATAAAAAAATTATATAAATTTATATATGAAGAGTTCAGATGCAAAAGCCTCTAAATGCCATTTGAAATTTTCTTCTTTAATGATGATTTTTTATCAAACTTATATATTTAAGTTCAGTAATTTCACTTAAATAACAATTAATAGGTAATTATCATTGCCATTTAAGTGAAATTACTGAACTTAAATATACAAGTTTGATAAAAATCATCATTAAAGAAGATAATTTCAAATGGCATTTAGAGGCGTTTGCATCTGAACTCTTCATATATATATATATATAAAACTATAAGGGCATATTTTTTTAAAAAGTTATAAAAATGACAAAAATTCTAAATTAAACTTCAATTAACACAAATATAATGTAACATATAAATACTAATTTTACTAATATACTAATAAAAATATAATACTTTTATCAATAATACTAAAATAATACAAGCTGTTCATCTAATATTTATATTTTGTTTTATTTCAGCCTTTCAATTAACAATTTTTAAAAATATTTTTAATAATAACTAAACTTGACCTTCCATAACTTCTAGCAAATTAATTAAAATCGGTATCAAACATGATTTTTTTTTTCTGGATAAATATATATATATATATATATATATAGTAGACAGTATTAAATTACTAATATTTTATGGCTAATTAAGTAATTTAATACTTGAGTATTGGGCAGAAGCCTACATAAAAGTTAATGCATGACATAAGAGTTAAATCTAATCTATTAGTGCTCAGAAGTAATACAGCTAAAACTCAGATCATAAAACATCCCTTCCTACTGTAATATCCCGTAAAATACCAATCTGTTGTTGTAATGCATTTCATTGTCATGAAAATAATGAAACAATTTAAAAAATTAAGATTTTTCTTCATTTCCTTGACGCAAAACATAAATTCATAATTCTTTTATTTTTGGGGTGAAATGTGCCCTGAACATGTTTTTAACAGGGTGTGTGTGATGCCACTGTGACTTCAGTATCATTGACGTGATGATCTGATACACACCGTACGTGAAGTAGGCGACGTCCGCAGGAAGTGATGCGTTGCTGATGTCCAGGTTGGGCACGTGCAGGTCGACGTAGAGCTGAGCTTTAGACGCCTTGAGGAACGCCATGAGACGAGCCGTGAACGAGGCCACGAAGATCGACAGCATCCCGAAGTCCAGAACGTTCCACAGGTGCATGACGTACTCACGCGGACCTTCAACCCAGATCTCCTTACACTCCGACCAGATCATCCCTGAAACACACACACGCGTTGGGTTCTCATGACATGTTTTATGGGGACTC